ATCATTTTAGATAACTCTTCAGAATGATCATTGAGTTCATCATGGATTGTTGTCATTATTGTAGAAAGTCTTTTCAGAAATAATTGTTGTTTTACCCAAAACCTTTCAATTTGTTTAAGTTCGTTCTTTTTCTCTTCAATATTTTTATCTCTTCCAACGTTATACCAAGTCATTACTAATTTTAAGTTCTTTCCTTTTATAGAACAATTAATGTTTTAAAAAAATAAATTAAATAAAAGGAAAGTAATTAAGTGTTAATAAACTTGTTCTTTATTGTTCATTGCACTGTGATGATTATTCACTTACAGTTTTTAATTATCCATATAGAGTGTGTGTTTTGGTATAGAAACAATGCTCCATAATAGCAATCATTCTTTATTACAACATTTTTGACTTCATTGGTACTATCAATTTTCGTTCTAAACTCTTTAATTGGTTTTATACTTTTTTCATTTATTATCCTGTTTATTGAAATTACTAATACTATTATTATCTTATTTTATCTTATTTTATTTTTCCTTTTCTTCTTTCTTTATACGTATGTCTTTTATTCAAATAATGTTTACGTTAATTTAACCTGTTTACCCAACATTAATTACATCATTTATTATTCTATGTTTATTTCTTATTAGTTGTTTAGTATTATTGTTTCTTTATATATATATCTTCTTAACCTTTACAGTAGAACTTTATTTTCAATGTTAATTTTCATCCTTTTTCATATATAATATTATTGTTACTATTGTTGTTGTATATTTATTACTAATGTTATTCTTGATTCTTTATATCTTTCATTATTATATTGTCTGTGTTGTTTAGTGCTTCTTTTGAATTATCCTTTCTTCATTTATCACAACTACTTCAAGATTTTCATTTGATATATTTATTATCTCTTCTCCATCACTTCTACTTTCTTATTCTTTATTTAATATTTCATATTCATTTATCACTATAATTCATCATTTTCCTTTCTAATTCTCCTTTTAATCATTTTATCATTTTATCATTTGTAATTCATATATCATTTTTATTATTCATGTTATTTCCATTGATGTACATCACACTCTACTTTCTTATGTTTGTATTTGTTCATTGATTTTCTTAACCAAAATTAAGGATGTTATTCAATATCAAAAACAATAAAATCTGTTGCATTTCTTGCATTGGAAAAGTATCTAATCAAAAATAAACTATTCAATAATAAAAATGAGAAAAAAGGAATTTATTGTAACTCTTTAACATATCCAAAGTCATACTTAGTAATAGTTATATTCTTATAACCAATAACATTTATTTCTTTTTTGAAACATTTAACTTTGGGTTTTCTGTTAATTCTTTTTGACCCTTTTTTTCTTTTATGTCAATAATTTTGTGGGGTGTTTTACTTTCTTATTTTATTAGACTCCATACACATGTATCACTAATATGCAATTGATTAGAATTATCAATTCTATGACTTGATGAAGATTGGTTGGCACTATCAGCTTTTTCTTTATTTCTTTTATTTGTGGATGATTTAAGTTCTATATCGTGAGTTTGTTTAACTTTTGACACACTTGTTTTTATATCTTTTGTTACGTTTTGAATCTGTGGTTGATCTTTTGTTACGTTTTGAATCTGTGGTTGATCTTTTATACATGATGATTTTTCACATTCGTCTGGTTTCATCTCTTTCCTAGTTAAAGAAACTGTCCATAATCTAGAATCTTGTTGGGTTGTCATTTGACTCATATTCTGACTAACTTGAGATGGTTTTGTTTGTTGTGATAACGAAAGAGACAAATTTGGTTGTGGTGATAACTGATACCCTTCGATCCTTGTTGAACTTGTTATTTTTGGTATAGTTGGACTTGTTTCTGGGATAAATCCTTGTTGATTTTTTGCATAATCTTCATCTTGACTTATTACGTAATGTGGCTGGTTAGTTATTGAACAACTAACATGTGTTGGTTTAGAGAAGACGTTCATGATTTCCTGAACAATTAACTCGTTGCCAAAATTAGATATCTCATTACCGTTAAGGTATAAAACAGAGTGATTTCCATTTATTCCAATTTGTCCAATTTTATTTGAAGAGATGACGTCAACAAGAACTAAGTTATCCTGTGAGAAATGTGGAATGATTAGTATGTCTTTAAGTTGTGATTGGATTTGAGCAAAATAGCTGTAATAGTTTTGCATGTTGAAGTGATGAATGAAAATAAGATTTTAAAGATCAAAAATATATAAAAGAATATGAGTTAAATGACTATTATAAATTAATTATAAAAAAATAAATGAAAAGAAAAAAATAATAAATGTTATTTAGTTTAGTCATTTTAAAGAGAAAAGACAAAAGTCATATGACATATTTAAGCAATATAATGGAACAATCCATTGTCTTGTTCATCTCTTAAGATATATTCTTTTTCAATAAGATATTCAACACCTTGTTTAGCTAATTTTATATCAATATTAAGTGAGGAACTTAACTGAGAAAGAGTATATTTAATAATATCATTATAACTAAGGTCTTTTCTTTGTTTCATTAATTTAACTTGATAACAAATGACAGCAGTAAATTTTTTTGATTCACTTTCTTTAGTTTTTCCTTTATTTTTATTTTGATTATTTACTAATTTCTTATCAATTTTATTTAATAAGAAACCATCAGTAATTGAATTATTAGTAAACCAAATCAGACTATTTCCTTCAAAGCCATTTGAACTAGATAAAATATTATAATTGATTAAAGAATTTAAATGGAATTTAAAAGAGTCTAATGAAGGAGCTATAGATTTTTGTAATTCATTAATAGTTAATTTTCCATTATCATGTAATTTCATTAAAATACAATACTGAATATAACTAATTTCTAATTTGTATTCTTTTATTCCATTATAATAAGAAAGAATAACAGAACAACATAATTGATTTAATTCTAATTTTCTATCTGTATGAATACTTTTATAAGAAGTAACAAATAAATTCCAAATATTTTGAAGATAATTATCCATTTGAATTGAGCAATAAATGTCATTTGCATTAAATAAAAATTTAGAGAAAACAATAATATTTAGTTTTAAAGGAATTTGATTTTTATTACAAAATTCTTTAGTCATTTCTAAAGACAATGTATAGTCTTTTATAATTTGTTTTAATTTAAAAGAAGCAGAACAAGAGAAATTTTTAGAAATATCATCAACAACTGAAGATTCTAATAAAATAGATTTTATAGTATTTTGAATAATTCTTTTTAATAAAAATTTTTGATGTAATATAATAAATGACTCTTTATCAGTTAAATAAGAAACAATATCTAATACATTTGTTAATTCTTTCATTGTATCTTCTTCTGATTTAATATTTGTCATAATATTATGAATAAAAGTAGCTAAAAGAACTTCTATTTGTTTTTCATCACCTTCATTTGTAATTTTATTTTTAACTAAACAAGATTTAAATGAATTTGTAACACATTCGCCAAAAATAATATTTCCTTTAAAATATTCTTTTTTTAATTCTTCTGTTAAATTTTTAAATTTAAATAAGAAATAAACTATTTGTTTTATATTCTTATTAAATCCTTCTTTTTTACTTTCTTCTTCAAGTTCTTTATGAAACTTTAATTTAAAATATTCATCAATAGAATTAAGAAATTCATTATTTTCTTTTGTTTTATTCCATAATAAACTAATAATTTGAATATCCTCTTTTTCTTTTTTAATAAGAAGTTCTGGAAATACTGTTAATGCTTTTGTTGTTAATTTTAATAATACTTCTTTATTTAACATTTCTTTTATTGGTTGTTGCATATTTGGAAGTAATGCTGTTTTAATTAAATCATTTTCATTTTCAATAAATCTTTCTAATAAAATTAAACATTCATGAATTGGTAATGTTTTTATTTTATTAATAAATTTATTATAATCTGTCATTGTTTGTTCTTCAAATTGTTTTTGAAATGATTGAAGGTAAAATGATAGTTGTTCATCAAAATGAAATTGAAGAATTGAAAGAATTGATTCATATTCTTCTATTGTTAATCCTTTATTAAATCTACTTTCTGATATTATATTAATTAATATATTAAATAAATCTATTTGTTTTATTAAATATTTAAAAAATACATGTTTAAATGAATGTTTTAGTACTGACTTTACTGTTCCATT